GTAGAAAAAAATAACGGTACGCGCTATCCACGATGATGTATGTGCAAATGTACGTGTCCGTCAAATTCGAGTGAAAAAATCATTTACAAAAGGCAACTATCCATAAAACACCAGGCTTGGAACGCGCACTTCGGCAAGGACGCATGTTGGCTTGTAGCGCAGTGCACGTGTTCGTAAGGGGGGGAACATGCAGACATGAGGGGTCGATCATTCGGCATACAAACGAGTACATAGGCAGTAGCAGCAGTTCCAACGAAAAAAAGCAGAGATGGACACCTGAGAAGTGAGGATAGTTGGAATCCGGTCTGAAACAGACGGTGCCAAGAGGCATGGACACAAACATGCCTTCAAGAGAAGGAGGATTTCGTTATGCACCGGCCGCAGTTATCCGACAGGAGCTGATAAGTGTAGGCACAAACGCAAAGCTGCCGTTTTGACGTGAAATGATGCGCGCGCTGCACACACACACGAGCCACCCCATAGCACAGTAAATTCGACGAGAAAGTTTAGAAAGTCGAAACCTTGTTGACGGAAATTCATCGGCTAGTAAAAGGATAGGGACGTGTACACAGGCGTGGGAAGTCGGGAATGCAGTCATAGGCAAAGCGCCAACTATGCAGTAAAAATCCACCGCTCCGTTTAAAACCAAGGCAATAATTGGCTACTTTAGTGAGGAAAGTGGGACTGGATATGCAAAATAGATGCAACTGGAAGGCGACGGGGGGGGGACATGTACATGCTGGGTCGTAGTCAGAGTCTGCGGATACGATGAGCAGGACTTGGGAAGAGGACACACCTTGGGCCCAACAATCTAACAGCGGTTACACAGGCGAACGATGGTTGGGCAGGTAGGCAGTCAACCCAAGCAAAAATGCAATACAGTCGCGTTTGCGAGTCTGTTAGCACAGAACACGATTTGTATAGCGTGTGCAATCGGAAGGTTCTCGAATATACACGAGTTTTGACGGCTGCAGTGAGGGCGACGTAGTGAAGGAGTATGGACTGTCCACAAAATACACATACACTGACAAATTTAAATGCCGGCGTAAAGCATGATAATGTACACGGGGTGAGAGACAGGGAGAGAGAAAAGTAAGTCTGGATAGAAAGGCGGAGTCTGTCGCGCACGTGGATGTGCGGCTACACTGAGAACTGAGGCCTTCGACAACAGAGACGACAAAAAGCGCGTTCTAATGCGACGTTAGATATTCGCTTATGCATAATGCACGGTGGGGTTGATGGGGCAAGGTAGAAAAGGACAGAAGTATGCGGAGTCAGGAAGGGGCGGAGGAAGGTTACTCTTGCATCTTTTTGACGTACTGCTGCTGGTAGGCCGCATACCTCGCCAGGTGGTCGGAGACGACAGCAGCGGTCGCGGCAGCATTCTGCTGAGAGGCTTGTTGTTGCTGTTGCAGATACTGCTGCTGTTGCTGTTGTTGTTGTTGTTGCTGCTGCTGTTGCTGATGATGTAAGAGAGCTGCCGAGTCAAACTGCTGGCGCTGTTGTTCGGCTGAAGCTGCAGCCTGGTAGGCAGCTGCATTTGAAGTATTGTTCCAGCGTTGCTGGGCTGCTTGTTGTTGTTGTTGCTGCTGCTGCTGTTGCTGAGCAGGGGAGAAGGTTTGCATCATTCCTGCGTGACAACGAAAAAGTGAACAATTTAGAGGCGGGGTTGGACAAACTTCTTCGAAAAACAAGTGGAATAGTTGAGCTCAACTAGGGATAGACGAAGGGGCACGACACTGGACAATTAAGGCACGGGGTGCATCTGTCGACCTCCGCACAGCATTCACTAAGTGCCATATAAGAACAAGATTAACCATACTACTAATAATAATAGTAGTAATAATAGTAATAGTAAGCGAGTCTGCCGCAAGCAACGAGGATCAACACTATACCAAACAGAGCCTAGTGGTGGCTTGCGCGTCTAGGGTAAAACACCTGCAGAATACACTCCTCTCCCAACATCCCAACTATTTTTCGATGACAGAAAAAAGCTGAAATGAGAAAAGATGACTGTGAGCATAGTGGTTGACGGGGCTAATCCCGCGTCACCCACTTACTTGTTCCTATACTCGCATGCGCCAGACTTTAGGCGAGGTCTCGATTTTTCACCGAAGACGGTTCTTAAAAGCAGGCCATATAAGGAAGTCACTACTGCTGTGAGGCAGGCAACAAACTACTGGGGCGCAGAAAAATTTCAAGTATTGCCGACTCCTGAATGGCGAGTGACCAGAGAACACAGCGGAACCGGGGGCAGTTTTTCCTGTTCTAGTTTCCTCAACACTGAGACCGCATCCCCTTTCGCCAGGAACAAGAAAGTCGAAAATGACTGTTCTGGCCGGAGTGGAGTTCGATTACCTCGGGGCAGGTGTCTTCAAAGGCTAGGGGTAATTGAGAAGCATGTCGCAGACAGATGGCAGAGTCAAAGGGACCAACATGAGATGTTCCTTCAGCCCGCCCCTCCCTCGTCACGCGCGGAGTAAGCAGTTTGTATGAGGGGTAAGGCGTGCAGAGAGCAACCAGGTTAGTGGGCTTACCGGGGAGTTGGTGGGCCGCTACGTAGGCCGCGGAGAGTTGGTGCAACTGCTGTTGTGCTGCAGCAGCAAGCGCCTGTTGCTGTTGCGCGGCAGCCGCAGCAGCAGCAGCGGCGGCGGCAGTCTGGGTCTGCTGCTGCTGCTGCTGATTGGGACTCACGGAGGTAGCGGGGCTGGTTGCGCCCACCACAGTAGGCACCGCCGAGGAGAAGGCGGGAGAAGCCGCCCCATGCGCGGACGAGGTGGCTGCGTACATGAGGGTATGGCCTTGTTGCTGCTGGGCTTGTTGAGCTTGTTGCTGCTGTTGGGCCTGTTGTTGTTGTTGCTGCTGCTGCTGAACTTGTTGCTGTTGCTGAGCAGCGACGGCGGCTGCAGCTGCCGCGGCCTGTGCCTGCTGCGTAGGAGTAAAGAGGAGGAGAAATATCAGAGGTCTGCCGAATCAGAACACACACCACCCAGATTACATCCGAGGAGGACCTTACCGCCAGGTGACATCTAGACGGTCGATGTGAAAACTAGCATGACCAGCCAACGTGTGATTCGCAGACCAGCAAAACGCACATGAACAATTACCAGGTTCTGATAATTCTGGCCTTGTGTAGCTGAGGCGATACGGATGGCGATGACACCAGGAGATATAGCTCCTCGGACTACCAGACCTTGTAGGATGGTTGCTCACACGCAAATGACACCCGAGGCACTATGAAGTAATTTGGGCTTGCGAGCTCTCTTTCCAGTTGGCTAAGGTTGATAGGACAAAATATTGGGTTTTCTGGCAAAGACTACGCGGGCGACCACTTGAGATCATATCCCATTTAAACCAAAAAAATAATAGTTAAGTATGATTCGGCTAAGTGGTCTCCCTTTGCTTATTATATCGAACAATAGCTCAAAGAAGCCGGCTTAGCATTTCTGACGTGAAATCTCCGGTACATTACTCCCGCATATTTCGATTTTGCACGTTCGAAATGAGCTATCAGGGGTTCCGAAATTCTCTGACCTGTTTTCTGCTCTTTCTAGTCTTCGAGTTTTGTTTTGTAGACCTCCTTCGTGTTCAAATACTCGCGAGGATAAATCAGACTTGATAATTTAATTCGAACAGGGGAAATAGTCGATCCAATGCATGCTCCAAACAGTGAATGACTGGTCGACCAGGCACGCAAGTCCGAAATTAACGCAGCAGACTATCGGAGGCCGATCTTCGACGTCGAAAAGTTCTGATTCCAAAATATATAAACGACTGTTGGGCAGTTGTTTTATATCAGAGAACCAGAGGACAGAAAAGCGCTAAAGTCGATAAACATGATTATTGGTGGAGAAAGAACCACAACTTGTATGTCCGCACTTTTTCCACCTGCGCACAATAAGCGCACAAGCTAATGAAAAATTCGTGTGGTTCCAAATGGAAGGTTTCCTGGAGAGGTTGAACTACTTACAAGGGCTAAGCGGGTCCGCCCAAAGTTTTCACGGGACATGGTGCACTATATTCCCAGAAAGTACTTGCAACCATCGAAAATGATACAAGCCCGACAAAAAAACCCCGTGTATGATTTACCGTACTGGCAGCATAGGTACTAGCTTGCAGCTTTTCTGTCGGTACGGCATATCACGCATATACTACGGGCTGACTTTTGATAGTTTATGAATATTAAGAGGTTATCCCGCTGTAGTTGATGGATTTCGGCACAAATATTCATACTAACTATCGGACTGAGCTTATAAATCTCCACTCCGGTAGCGATCAGATTTTGAGGAGTCAAGAAAGCTACAAGCACTTAACAACTGTGCATGCTCAATCCGCTTTCAGGGCCCAGTTATCCAAGAGACACAATAAAAAACTTGATATATTGCAGTTTCTGCATGACATAACGTCTACTTGGGCTGGGATAATGAGGTCGAACGGTTCTGAATTTGGTTTGCGCACGATCAGAGAGAAAACAACGAGTCCGCAGCAACTCCTTAAGGCGGGCATCGCAGACCGGTACTGAGCGCCTCAGTTAAAAGCTACAAATTGTGCTGGAGAACGTTCGACAGTCTAAATACCACCTATTCGTTGAGGTTGGCTTGCTCCAGCGCAAACCCCAATATGCGCTTAGTATATAGTAACGAAGCCGCATCTGTCCCCCTGCTTACTTCCACAGAAAAAGATATGGGTAACTGCCAACAGAAGGCACCCACACCCTCGCTCGAAGATAGTGTTCCCTGAACACCCACCCACCACCGGGCAGGGGTGACAACAGTTCAGCAGATGGTTGAAACACCTGTTAGTGCTTGTAGAAATGACGATGTCCACATGCCCAGCCTGGTGACATTGATGAAACAACAGCAACTCGTTAATCCGTACTGCCTTCACGATAGAGGACGCCCAAAATCCGTTAAATGCACACCTCCACAAAGTATTTGTCGACACATTTGGCCATCAGTTCGTTGGCCGGAGAGGATGTCACGCTAACTTATAGGCTTGATTGATTCCAGCTCATTGACTGTTGTCCTGCTTCTGGTTTTAATTCCGGTACGTTAGCTATAAGATAAGTATGATGAGATGATGGAATATGAGAGTCTAGGAAGAAACGCAACAGACTATGTATTTACTCAGTATGGTCTTCCCGGCTTTGATGACCTTACTTAGACTGAATTGGTGTGGACACACGAGGTTTATCTGCTTCGCTTGCAGGCTCTCGAGACCGGTGACTTGGCGGGATCAGAAAATGCATCCCCTATATAACAGCGTGCACTTCATATGCAGTCGTGCACATTCTACAGGGCGTATTTCGAAGTCACTAATATTATCCTAAGTCTCCTTAGCCTTACCATGCTGCTATGACTAGTACTAGTGTAGATAACGTTCACGCAGATAACGGTTTATATTCGTTGCAACCTTCCTAGGTAAAACCCCAACTCGCCACTTTCCAGTTGCCATCTAACCCCCAAAAGAAATCACATAATGACAGCCGTCGAGTGATGTAGTAATACGAGATCGACAAATCCTTTTACATCGCTCTCGCCGCACTCCAAATCATCTTTTTCCACGCCAAGCGGCGACGATATTGTTGGAGGAATAACGGAGAGTAAGTCGTGCCCTCTTGTGTGGTGATTGGAGGCGGGCCCAGTTAATGTGTGGACAGAAACATTTCCAAAACTAGGTCAAAACTTCTACTTTACGTGCCAAGTGCCTACTCCTTTAGCTTGTCAGTGCTGGGACCGGACTTACGAAGACTAACATTGTCATTTAGGGGCTGCCTATCCCGGCTCGGTGTGCCTTAAGTGGACGCTTCACCGAATCCTGCTGACTTCCGACACTTGCCACGACTCAGACTAGAAGTCCAGACAGTTGCTGCATCTGTCGCTTTGGAAAAGATTCCCGTGTGTAAGGAGAAATGTGGGCTAAAAACAGGAAATCCGACAGTACACCTTGCGATTATTTTTGGCTTTCACTGAACCCTGTCAATATGGACACCCTAGTTTTGACTGATAAGAGATTAGTGGAGTAGGAGCATTTTTGCTAACAGACGTGACATCACCAGCTGGAGGGATTAAGTCAGCAATTATAACGGCATTTATAAGCCGTCTTATTTTCCACAGTTGTCGCATGGGCTAATTCCGTGGCAAACATTTGGCTAGACGTCAAGAAAGATGATGGTCATCGGGACTATGAACCGGACCAGGCGGCAAGTGTGCGGCTCTAACTACATTTCGAGAGAGCGTGAAGAGGCAATCCAGGGATAAGCGAGTGCAGATCACTGGAGAGGTGGGCGGAGTAAAGTAAATTTAAATACTCGTCTGACCGATGTAAAATATTTCGTAGGAGACTTTGTGAAGTGTTGGGGAACGGCGTGGACAGACGAGCGCATTCTCAGTAAAACTGGTGCAAGGGACGGGGTGGGGAGATAAAGTACTGGAAACTGACCTACCAAGCTAAAATTTCCACACAGTGACGGGTTTGATGAATTTAAGTAGTAGCTTCCAGCATGCTGCAAAATTAATGAATGAATAACAAGACGGATGCCAGACAGTAAAGTTGGTTTGCTTCCTATTGCAGACTTTCGAGGGGAATGAGTAATCTTCGGCCACAGGACAACTGCATATAAGTACCAAGGCTCCACGTCGGGTAGACGTAACATGATAAAATAAACTAAGATTTGGACAAGGGGTGGTGTCAAACAGGCATGATTAGTACGGCTTCGTTAACATGCAACCATCACTTCGCAACCAAGTATCGCGAAGTGAGGTTAAGACGGCCCACGTAAGTCTCAGCCGGCTTTGCGATCCAGCACAGAACGCCCGTGTCTGACTACTTTCATTGCAAGGATCGGCAATAAACACATGATGTTCACCTACGGTCATTACAAAAAGGAAAGGAAAATATGAACTAGAACTACGCGGAAAACTGGTCGGTTATGGGTAAAAGAAATTAGCGCTTTGACGGAAATTACTTTTTGGCGGAATAGGGAAAGTAGGTAGCCCGCACGGCGGAAAACTCGCGTCGTCAGGCAGGGTACAGTGGTCGATTTCTCAACTTCGCACCGGGTGCTCTGCCGCTGAGTAATGGTCACGCCGTCAAACTGCGTGGTGCTAGCGGTTCGACCCCGTCTACTAACCTGTTTTCTCCCGGCCATGACAGATCCCCACTTTCCGCAATGCATTTGAAACAACTGCCAACCGCAAAAATATAATTGCTGAGTAGCCAAATGTCAGACAGCTCATTGGAATGACTCCATAGCACATATGCTCGAATGCCTCCCAATATGAGGTACTGACTGGTTAAGTTCACCCTGGGCAAGAGGAAAGCATGCGAATCGGATGAAAAAAAAGAACTTCGACGTTAAGGAGATCAGCATGGAAATAGCCAATTTGCTCCTAGTTTAAGCCCCGGCTCTCTTATTCTGTCTCCTATTGCAAAGCTAATGTGTCCCATTTTGAAAAACTCGAAACCCCCATACCAAGCACCCTTGGTCGGCGGCGGCTAAGTGCGGCAGGAAGGCACAGCGATCCCTTCTTACAGACAAATCTCCAATGCAGGGCATTGCAGACGGCCAGGAACATCCCCAGTCTAGGAAGAGGTCAAGTGTCGGCAGCCCAAATGCTTTGATCGCGCACAATGTTAGTCAAAATGCGACGTTATTCAGGATCCCAACTCCTCCGTAACCGTCGCGGACGCCTGACTAAACACCAATAGGGTTGAAGAGACCGGCGAGGCTAGTTTCCACGGACAGGGTCATGGGTGGAAACTAAACCCCTGGTACCAGGAACTAGCACCGTGAACAGCCGCACGGTGCGCAATTCCTATGCCAGATGGACTGGTTTGCCCCTAACGTATCTATGAAATACACAGGCTCACGTCTGCGTATAAGCAATGGCGTACTAATGGGTGACAGCGCTACCAGGGTTAGGGGGGCTGGGGCCAGGAGCGCCGACTCTATTGTAAAATACCAAAAAGCCCTATGAAGACACTGCAACATGTCAACCATAGGCTCTTGCTATCGATGCCTCTAACAAGCAATCTCATGGCATCTCGTGGAAAGTAAGGCCGGCAAACCACATTAAACATGAGCAATCCCAGGAGAACCAGCAGTCCAGAATGCGTAGCAGAGGAAGCATTAAGACTTGTTTGGCCGAATTTACTGCCTTCACGTTCCGGTATGGTGTACAAACCCACTACGAACAGTGAGGAGAGGGTTAGTCATCTAGCAGCCCTTACGAGTAATACGATTAAATAGATATGAAGAAATGGGAAGAGCACCCACTCCAAATAAATACGTACAATGGCTCCTGGACTGCCCGAGGACTCCTTAAGATGTATGTGAAAACCTCAGCAGCACGTACTTTGAGATCCTCGTCCAGCAAAAAGCTCCAACAACTCAAACGGGATCGTCATATGACTGGAAGGCATTCTGGATCTCCACCACCAAGGAATAGTTTGAAAAGCTTTGATAAATAAGGTCAGCTCAGTGCCCGTGCGCCGAAAACGTCACTGTCACGCACAGGACCGCGGAGCCCAGCAGCTTTACGCACAGCTGCTCGACCAGGTATGACACTATCCATCGTAGCCGACAAGTCGTCGCCATTATTAGTGGCCGGGAGGAGCAGTGAGTGAAGGTTGACAGACAAGGCTGTGTCAGTGGTCCAACTTTGGCGGTGGGCGCTGAGGCGTAAACACCACCCACGCACGCAGGAGGGCACGTACGCACGGAGCACATGTCGGCCAGTACCCCTCTTCGCACGCGCCCGTCCGCCGCCCTGACTTCTTAGTACTACTACTACCGCCGTCGCCACCACCACCATCAGACAGAGCCCTCCACGTGCCTGCAGTCGCGTACTGAACGCGAGCACGCGAATGCGTGCACGCTCAAGGCGCACTCCACCGCGGCCGGGACGACGGTCGATGGCTGTTGCCTGTTCGGGCACTGGGATGTGCGCACGTGCACACGCGCGCCTGCACGCCCAGTGGGAAGTGGCAGAAGAAGTCAGCGCGCATAACAAGAACCGTGCGCGAGCGCGCGCGTGCTACTGCTGCAGCATCAACCGTCGGGGCGAGGTACGGAGGAAGGCAGCACTTTGACGGCAGTGCAACAAAAACACGCACACGTACGTGGGTTTGAACACGAGTTCACAAAGTCGCGTCAAGCAAGAGTGACAACACAGGCCATGGTTCTGATTACTGCTCGGCGCCATAAATCAGAACTTTTTGTCGCAAGTATGGCGGCGATAAGCGGAACAAGTGGGCGGCTGTTTTCGTGGCAGGAGGATATTTGAGATCGACAATCTTCCCCCTAAGGAGGCGGTCTTGGAGGAGAGCCTTCTGCTTTCGACTTAATAACAGTGTGACAAATTGTAAATAGAAGCACAAAGGGTTGAATAAAAAAACAGGCTTTAATAGGCGTTACGGTGCATCCACCTCTCTACATATTGTCGGAAGTTCAGGCACCATTGAAGCGCTCTAGTTTTTTATGATGGCATCTTCGACGTCAGTCAGGGCTATGTCCCTTATCAACTTCCTCAAAATACATATGGAAACCTGAACTACGCGATAAACTGGGTTATTGAGCACGCGTTGACAGACCATTCCGGTGTTGCAGAAGGTTGTGGTACGTGTATTAGCGAGCTTTTCGTGTCTAGATAGGTGCAAGGCGGTCAATATGAGCATAAAATTAACCACCCGAAAGCGAGGACGGTTGCATTTCATCATAAATGGAAACGCAACATGAAAGGCGAGAACTTTTCGGCAAATGCTCAGTTACAGAAAGTATCTGAGAAACGGCCATTCTTCGAAATATTGTACCTCGAAGTTATATGCGACAGATGTAGAAGGTGGCTTTTTAAGGCCTTGAAAACAAGTGTCAAACAATCTGGGTGGCGTTTTTTCCCCGGGGTATTGGGGTTATAAACCAAAAAGGACGTGATAGGTATGCAAGGATTGACACAATCAAACTTTGGTTGGTCAAACAGGTCTCCTTTTTGTAATTGTGCCTGGCACAGCTGCGATAGCACCCGGCCTAACCGGCTACAACAACATTCCCCAGACGTGAGGCGATAGCTGGCAGCGAGTCTGTTGATTCCGATAAGAAGTCTAGTTCGGCAGCGAAGACCGAGTGTCGCAGGTCTAAGAAGCATTTCTATATTTCACCAGACTACGTTAAACCTTGTTTGGTGTGGACCTCCTCTGGTTTTCCTTAGCCAGCGAGGTGACCAAAGCATCTTTCGTAGCATCGCTGGACTAATTGTGCGGAGGATAAAAGATGCGCCTAAGGTACCCCATTTGTTTTTATAGGATAACCTGAGATATCCTCGCTAGAGTGTCGTGGCCAGTGCGGAGTCCCTTTTATGGCGGACTTTGCTTACTTTAACCGAAGGGTTATTTTGACAACGATGGTCAAAAGTATTTGACTTCCGCCCGTCTACTACCTGGACAAGCTGCCAATGAAAATTGCAAACGACTAAGCAAACCGGTGCCGTGTACGGGTGAATTTTGTTGACATCAACATCGCAAAAAATAAAGAAGCGTCGACTCAGCCGACGGCGTGGGCACCACCTTGGCTGTTTGACATTTCCCGATGTTGGAAACAACCCGTTTCTTCAAAATAATAGAAACTAATCACGATGAGTGTCTCCTGCTGGTCGGAGATGCAGCTTGTTTTCTTGCAACATTTATGGGCAAACCAACCAACCGACCTTTTAATCTCGCAGGTCATGAGCGCTCTACATTAGCACAGCGACCGCTGGAAAAAGCGAGATTAACCGAAGATCTGGTGAAAATTACATGGCCAAACCCGTTTTTTCGGGGATATAGTCAACAGCGAGGTTGAATGGACTGAACGACAGGACGAATCCCTGTCAAACACCGGACAGAGCACCAGAAGGTTTGGAGGGGCGTTTTTGGGCAATAAATCGGGTGCGTTCTTACTTTTACTTAGTGCAGTTGTGACCATACCTGATCTAGTCAGCCCCGGGGATTTTAACGATGTTTTTTGGTAATTTTGAGCACAAGCGGGTCCCCAACAGCCGCTCGGATGGTTTGATCGAGATCTCCTCTGGCACTTCGGCTTAAAACCTAGCTGCGACACGGCGGTGACAAGCAGATCTGTTAAACGGCGACGCACGACCACCATGTCACGGTGCCTTCGCCGGGCTTTGTGATACGGTATGCTGCGGGTTTCCACGCCCTGGTAGCACTGTGGCCGCCGGTTCGTGACTGCTTATTCACCAGATCTGACAGTCCGCATGTTTTACAACTGGCCTTCGCTGAAGGCTGTTCCACTACTGCTACGCGTGGACGCGCCAGGTAGCTAGCAGCTATGTTAACGAGGGACCCGTCCCCATGAAGTCGGGACGTTTAAGTGATCTTGAGTATAGTGACGCTTTTTATCGGCACCGTCGCAATGAACGGAAGCTACAGCGAAGTTAACGAGACGGACAAACTTGTATTGACCATGCCAGAATTAATCTGCCTTAATGTAAATATTCGGCTCGCTTGGTCGTATCACGGCCTTACATCGGGTAGTTGGAGGCGCTTGAGGACGACGGCAAATGCTGCTGCAGTGAGATTCACTATACACATTGGTGCTCGGTCCCCGATCACCGGCTGCGATCTCGTTCTCTCTACACCCATTGAATCATTGTGGGGCTAGGATGTCAATGTTGGTAAAGCAGTTAAATTAAATCATGGATGCCACGCTCGTGGCGTCCGTCCATATTTATCCATTTAAGCCAACTCGAATTAATGCAGTTCCTCAACACGAGACACAGACAGCGCATATTTGAGTGAAAAACTTATGACGCAATGGCATAATGGACGGCACTGAGACAGCAGTGTGGATGACCAAATAACTGGCCATAGCAACCGCACTATGAAATTCAGGGATTTACATATGAAGCGCAAACAAAGCAACTAACGGCTGTATAACTGCATAGATTTAATAATTGGCCAAGATGGGTAAAAGCGACCCTTAAATAGAGGACTGGACATCGTAACTAAGACCAATCGCGGTCTGATCTCGCGTTTATTACTGAGTCACTGAGTTTATCACTGGCTTCAAACACTGCAGGAAAGGAACTCCATATCGGATAGCGCCCTAAATAAGCAGATCGCGACGGGTTCGTAATGGCGATAATAAAAAAGACAAGTACAGAAACAATCAGGTTCTACGAGATTCTAAAGAAACCGAGCCATAGTAATGCATTGTGGTGAGATTGAACGAATCCATTTGGCAGCTTGTGGTTGAACGGCTACACGTCAGTGGGTCATATAATTATCCGATGGCCCAATCATAATTCCGTTAATGAATACGAACCCAGTCCCTTCAGTAAGGCCAGTCGCATAAAATCAAGATGCCGTTTAGGCACGGGGCTGCCAGACTGTTGAGAAATATGATGTGAATAAACCGGGCCGTCAGCAAATCACGTACCTGCTTGCACTTGCTTCGACCGGCACCTAGGAAGGTTTAAAAACGCCTAGCCTACGACATAAGTTTCGAATGCTCACAGAGATCTGTGGGATTCAGCCTGCCACATCTTCATCTAAAAGGCAACGGTGACGAGAAAGCCTTATTGGATTGTCGGCAACATATTTTGTAATACCGCGTTCGTCTGAGCAGTCGATTCGCCGGATGACTGCGCTGCGGCGTCGAAGGTACTGCTACTGCGCGATAGCAAATTTTTATTAAGCAGACCTGGAATTGTTTACTTTGCAGTAAACCGTTAATGAAGTCCCCCTTTTTGTTACATGTGTATCAACAGGACTATATACCCTACCGGCAACAGAATATGTGACAAGGTTCGCCTCGTTGAATTCCAGAGTTCACTGCCAGACTTTACACGAAACCAGACTGGCGACGACAAAGGTTTAAAAAATGGTACGGAGAAAAATCGCCCTACTGGATGGAATAACAGAGAATACTCTGACTGAGCAAAAATTTTTCATTAGTTTAGAATAAAATCTCCAGGAAAATGGATTGCCGTAAAAAAACCTTAATTTGGCGAAAAACTAATGGAGGCCGTATTCCGGTCGCATCACTTTGCAAGGTATTAACACAATGCGACTTTGCTGAACATCTCACAGGACAGCAAGAACACCAAAGAAGCAAACCGGCTTGAACACACCGAACATGATAACGTTCACTTATAAATTAGCAAGTACTGAGAACAACCACACAAAGGTTTCAATAAGCAGAACGGACCCGTTAATAAGTTCCAAATAGTTAGCCCATAACGGAAGTCAGGCTTGAACTAGCAACAATTTGGTAGACGCAAAATTTAGTCGAGTCTGCAAAACGTGATTGTGACTTGACCATCATGAACTTGGATGCTCTGCTACGTATTATCTGAAGTAACCGAAGAAATACAGCGAAGGTTCGCCTGGAGAGGAAAACGTATTACCTGTTGCTGGAGTTGCATATGTGTGAAAGCTGCAGTAGCGTTGCCCTGGTACTGAGACTGCGCCTGCTGTTGTAGCTGAAACTGTTGAGCAGCTTGCGCGTACTGCTGGTGAACATGATATTGATTGGGTTGGAGACCATTGTATTGGGCCATCAGCTGTTGTTGGGACTGCTGGAGGGCGGCAGCATTTTGGACAGAGCCAAAGGAAAGCATGTTTGCAGTTTGATTGGAGCTAATTTTGTTGACAAAACGGGGATCGTTTTGAATCGTTCCTGCACCTTGGTTAAATCCCTGGCTGAAGTTGCCGCCCACGTGACCGAGGCCGAGGACGTGCGACCCATTGCTATGGACAGACGGATTCATCCTACCGAAGTTATTCATTGCTGCGGCCTGGCGACTGCGAGCCTGTGTAACGGACTTCCTGACGAGAGCGGGGAGGGTACGTTCCTCAGGAGGCTTGTCAGCATAGTCAACAGCCTCGGATATGACTTGTGCGATAACCTCTTCCAAATGTGTCAGAGCTTCTTCACTTGACTTTTGATGTGATTCGTTTTCTAAAATAAATTCGCAATTCCTTTTAAAAGTAGATAGAAAACAATGTGCAAATGGTGTCAACTTCCGAGAATTGGATTAAACCACTGAAAGAACCCATATCATAAGGCAATCTCACGAATGGAAAGAACGGGCAGGACTCATTATTTGAGGAGGGTATATGAACCGCTTTTTTCTACGTCATACCTTGCATAACGCCACCAATATGATCGGACGCCACAGCTGTCATCGGTAATAAATCTGGCGCACCACCGAACCAATTTGGAAGTAGCCGCTGCGGACCCGGGAAGACCAACTTAAACAAATAGATGTAAAAATGCAAAGCATAGAATGTAACTACGTAAGGTATGCAACATAAACAGCTCAGAATGACTGCGAGAACTCATGAAGTCGTGAATCTGCATACCCAAAAAGATGAACTGTGTGCGAATGTCAAGTTCTTGTTGTAAAGATGAACATGAGATCTCTGGGACAATACGTGAATTATTCTGGGCTTTCGGTCCAATATTATGTCCTTATTAGTTCGATTGCGTGGACTTATACGTGATGGTCATTTGGGACATTTAAACTCGTTTTCCAGTGACGACTAAAGATACCTAGGTACAGGTCGGAAATGTCTAGATTTTGGGCATTGATGTGTTCCAAATCGGTAGACCTTTCTTCGTGACCAGTACATGCTATGCTATCTAGTTTGGACGACATTAGATTAAATTTTTTCTAAATATTCGAATTTACTGTCAAACACCTTAGCACCAAGTGGACAGCGATTTTACCGGGACCAAACGTTTGTCTGTAAAGATGATAGCCACGATTGGCACCTCAGGTTTCCGCTTGTTGTCTTCATTTATCAGTGTTAGTCATTGCAGAAAAGTAGCTCACCTTCTCAGGACGCTGAGCAATGGGGCCATGGGTTTTAGACATCCAGAGCTCGGTCGCGCGGTTCGAATTTAAATTGATTTCGGTTTATGGTATAATTTTCCCGCAACTGTTTTTCTTCACGCAAACTCCCTATTTTTTATCACAGAATTTCCGCCAGTATCGCCGTAGCCAAGGTTCAGTACACAGAAATGAAGAAATCTCAATAGGCTCTTCCGTTTTGCGTTTTTGCCTATAACTACTGACTCGAATGTGCGCGCACATTAGCGCACATTTGAGGCTGCTAAAGTAATTCAGACATCTGTTTTTTGCCAATGCAATTGGCTTAATCTGTTAGGACGCATATGAAGCCCGACGAAAAGGACTACCTTAGTTTGGATTTCGCCATGAAAACTGCACTGCATGTTATTTTTGAGACAATATACCCACCCTGACTCAAGGACTCGATATAAGGTCAGTGGAACAGGAGGATCAAACATTGGGTGGCCATTCGGCGAGTTGCATCCAAAAATATGAAATGGCAACAGTTCTTGAAGCCATTTATTGCGAGAGCCCACAATCACGTAGATACGGTCTTCGTGCGCTTGGCGCAACGAAAAGTAATCAATCCTTAGTTATTTACTCTCCGAATAGTAAGAATAGACTGTGATCAACTCCAAACAGTCTAGGGTCCTGTTCTCGTCGTTACTACAGTCAATCAGACCCATAGCTTCCGCAGACATTGACCGTGAATAAATTTCCGCTTCCCGGCTAATCCGAATTGACTTTTGAAAACGATGGAAGTCGAAAAGGTTTTCGGTCGAATTCTTGCTAAACAATCTTCATACTACGAATCTATTATAGTGACCCAATGGCCTGGATAATTATGTACTCCATGAATAATACGTAGCTGAGTGCTATAAAGTGACTGACCGGCGCTCTGTGTGACAATTTCAAGCTTACGTTTCTCCTCCGGCGCTGACTTAACGTCAGGTGCTCCGCTGAATCCTAGTTCTCATGAGAAAGGAGCCACATAGAGGAGAAATGGTTAATAACAGCCTTTGACACCCATACAGCAACCGATTCGTGTAACGTTTGTCCCGGTACTAACAAATTAACCCGAATATTCAACAAAAATATCCAAATGAACACGTCAATTTTTCCCAGAACGTCTATTGGCATGCCAGCCTACTGACCTGACATACTGAACAAAAAAACATCTATGAAGACTGTCCTCAAACTGGCTCCCTAAGCCAAACCAAGTGGATGCAATTCACCTCTCACCCCCTGTCAACCGTCCTCGAGCCCCCATATGCAGCTGGTTAAAATCCAGGTATGTTATGGTCAGAACCCAAAGGAGTGGAGGTAGGTCCTGTTTGTCTTTAATATGCAATAAATGTTTTTGGTTGTCGTTTTCATATTATTAAATTGTCGCCCCATTATAGCGAATGGTAAAATTACAGGGAAGTTCTCAGTAAACGTTCCTGACAGTTCGACCGCCAGTACCAACGAGGTACATCTTTTGATTCGCAGCACTGTGGAATAAAGGACGGCGACTCCCAAGTGAGTTAGTTTATAGTGATAGTAGGCTTTCTCAGCATCTGCCACACACCCTCTCTCCCCTCACCCAGCTGAGCCTGGCAACACGGCAGAGTCCAAACGACCGGATAAGGGCTCGGACATATTGACTGACAGAGCCAAATGACCCACCTGCACGTACCACACGCGTCTGGTTGACGCACAAAAGACGCACAAAAAAGACAGGAGGCGGCTCAAATCCCAACTGAGTAAGAGTGGCATAAAGGCCACATTAAGAAGAAACCATTGAAATCTGCCTCTCCGTTCTGAGAGGAGAACCGAGCTGTCCCGTCAGTTGGTGACTTTCCAAGTCACGGTGTTTTCCGCACCGTGGTAGTTTAAAAGATGTTTAGACTGTTTATAGTGAGGGATATGCGTCGAGTGCGGCTGGGACGGGTTCCCGGAACCAACCTCTTCCTATTCCTTCTCCTGTGCACCAGTTTACTGTCCGAGTTGGTTGATCATATGATATGGGGATTGGACGCAGTGGTTGACAGAGTTAGAGAGCTCCACATTACGCTTACTACACACATCAGCTGACCCCCTCCACACAACACGTCAGGTCTCCACACGAAGTGGGCGACTCGGATCCCCCGTGTGTGCAATGGTCAAAAAGGCCACATGGAGTAGAAGCCATTGGGACTGACTTCCAGCCCACCAGTCTGTCACTCCACACAAACACACATCAAATCAACTGCTAAGCTTGAGCTGATAAGTCGCCATGCCACGACGTTTGGTGCTTCATGTTATTCTCGAGCACGCCAGATATGCTATGGTGAGGAATATGCTGATGTGCCGTGGGGTGGATTTTTCAAATTAAAATCGCTGCCAGTCGACCGATGCAGTGACTGGGCGCAGTGGCGCAGAGAGCCAACAAAAGCTGTCTAGGTGTGCCACATACACGACCTGGCACCCACAAAAACTCAGGATGTAACACAACGGGATGTGCCTGTTGAAATGCAATGGGCCTACATACGAAGAGTCCCAAGTCACAAGTCTAGGAAGGCGGGGTTATTGGACAAGTCGTTAGGGAGAAGAAATTGTGTGGGGGCAGTTTAGTAAGTGATAGCGGGCGTGTATGTGTATGCCTGACGCTGAGGTTGTTTAACCCCGTCACCGAGCGCGCATACCTTTGTCTGAGCTGGGCCCGGCTGCAGCCAATCATGTAAGTGCAGTGTTGACTGACTTCGAGCTCTCACAAGCTAATGCCCGGTCGCAAGTAGCTCTAACGGCAAACTGAAGGGCAGAATGAGACGGACCGAAAGGCGACACGATTAAGTGGATACGTAGGCGATCCCGGGGGCGGGGGGGGGTCTCATATGCACTAGAGCAGCATATAGACCGCGTGGAGCAGAAACCAGGAAACGGTATCCCCACATGCGTAAGAGACGTCTAGTCCGTGCTCGTTGTATGTGTGACATAAGACGCGTTCATGCGTGGTGGTCTGGTTTGGTCTGCGGTGGTTTACCGCAGATTTTCATGGACGCACATATGGTTTAGTAGGTCCACGCGACGACTAATATGCTTGAGCAGTGTGGACAATTGAGGCCGATGCGGTGGGTGCATAGTTATGCTTCTGACACTGGCTTTCTGGTCTCAGTGCGACGGATTCGCAAGTGACTGATGAGGCCAATGCGTGATTTAAAGGTGCGATCGCAGCGGGGACAGACTGGGGTCGAGTTCGCATTGGTAATGGGGGAAGGCGATTATGGTGGTTTACGGCGCCTCTTTAGTGTTCACACCGTTGGTGGAAGCGGGAGGAGTGGTAGTTATCGCCGTGGGTGTTGTGGTAACGGTGATGGGGATAGTGGGTGGCGGCGATATCAGCGGGCTAACGAGAGCGTAAACATCGGTGGTGAGGGTAGCCAAAGTCGCGGGTGCCGTGGGGGTTGCGACAAGGTTGTCGGCGAGGGTGGTTTGTAGAGGGAGGAGTGAATTCGTGTGTCGTTATTGCGTCGAGTACGGAGATGTCTGACAAGGCCGACCCACCCGTGAAGCTTCGGGAACATTGGGAGCATGTTTCATGTGGGGTCAGGTGTTGGCGTTGTGGGTCGTAGTCTCTGAAGACTCTCAAGCCGCTCTTTTGGCTTTGACAGTGACGACCCAGTTGGTTTCATAGATTGTCCTCTCAGTCTTCACTGCACTTTCCAGGTCGATCGGTCATAGGCGAGACCCTCTCAGGTCGTCAGACCGGTTTGTAGATTCTTAAATGCAAGTCACATGGCTTTCTTGTAGCGTCGCTGCTGTCTCCCACGTCGGCGGGCGACCATAGCGACGTTTTCCAAGAAAAGTCACCCGGGTAATTGCTCGTTGTCTATCCTCACCAGGTTACCGCTCCGGTGCAGTTTTAGTTGTCTCGTCACGGCGATTCCAGTCCATTTCAGGACGTCCGTGTCCGCGATCCTGCTCCATCACCTCCGAAGACAGCTGAGGTGGGAGTGATTGGTTTTTTGGCTGATTGGCATGGATGATCCATGTCTTCGTCCCGTGATATAGCGTTGTCAGGATTACCGCCCCATATATTTTGAAATTCACATTGATTTGAAGCCCGTGGCGGTTCCATACGGATGCCCGCAGCCGTCTGAAAGCTTGAATAACTTCGAAGATCCGGGTGGATTATTTCGTCATCGATCCTGCCATTCCGCGAGATGAGGCTGACTAGGTAGGCAAACTTATCCACGGATGCGGGCCGGGTTACATTCATGTTGATACCGGGTGCAGTGTATTCCTCCTCTGATACCAAATGGTGCATGACCACCGTCGTTCATCCGCTCGAGGTGACCGCTCCAGCGCGGTTGCATGGCGCAGATCCTGAGGATTCCCGTCTGTTTCAGTATGTCTGTGTGCGAGATCCGGTCCTGCCACCTCAGATTTAGTATCCGTCGTAGGCAGCTGAGGTGGAAGTGGTTTAGTCTTCGCGGCTGCTTCTTGTACACCTTTCAGGTCTCCGCCCCATACAGCAATGCCGGCAGGTTGAACACTTTGCAGCTCTCCAGTTTGGTGTTGAGATGGAGACAATGACGATGCCAGACGGTTTTCTGAAAACGACCGAAGGCTTGGCCGACTTTAAAGACCCGGCGGGCCACTTGGTCTTCGATTTTGGTGCTGCGGTAAAGGGTGTTGCCCAGGTAAGTGAAGGTGTCCACGACTTGCAGTAGGGCGTCGTTCACGTTGATCTGAGGTGAATTGTAGGCAGCGTTCGGTGGCGGTTGGTGCATAACCACCGTTTTCTCCATGGTAATGATCAGGCCGACGTTGTAGCAAGCGGCGGCGAAGAGGTACATGCTCCTTAGCATGTCCCCTTCAGTGGTGGTGTCGAAGGCTCAGTTGTCAGCTAGGAGAAGTTCTTGGACGGTAGATATGGATACACGCCACTGGAAGTGCAACCGCCGTTGGTTGAGGACGTGGCCGCCCGTCCTGTAGGCGATGCAGATCCGGGGCGTTCGTCACGGCAGGCGTCCATCAGCATGGCGGAGAACATGAGACTGAAGAGAGTAGGCGAGAGGACGCAGCCTGCTTAGCTTCGTTGGTCACTGCAAATGCCTCTGAGACGACTCCATTGTCCGTGAGGTACGCCATCATGCCATTGTGGAGCTGACGCACCATCTGGATGTATCGCTCGGGACAGCCGAATTTCTACCCAATTTTCAGCCGTCCTGCGCGATTCGCAGTATCGAAGACTTTTGTCAGATCCACGAAGGTAGAATACAGGCGGGTTCACATCTCTTGGCACTTCTCCTGCATTTAGCGGGCGGCAAAGATAATGTCGGTGGTTCCACGATGACTGTGGAAGTCGCAGTGGCTTTCCGGCAGGAGACCTTGTTCTAGGTGGTTGTTCAGGTGATTGAGCAGGATGCGAGCGAAGATTTTACAGGCGAAGTTTAACAGAGAGATGCGTCTGAGGTTGTCGTAGAGCAGAGCGGGTGATTACCTCTCCGCTTGTAGAGATGGACTATTGTGGCGTCCTTTAAATCTTGGGGGATTTCTCCTTGACACCGCATCTCCTGGAAGAACGCTGTCAGGTGCTCCATAAGTTTGGAGCCACCATGCTTTTACATCTCTGCAGGGATCCGGGTTCAGGTTTCTAACCTCTATGTTACTTAATTTCCCCAAGATTTCCGTCTGCTAAACTTTATACTCAAATTGGCCGGCCAAACATTGGACGAAAGTGTCAGAAAATATAACCAAAATTTTTCTAACTGTAGTAAACCTATGATGGGTCTTTGCCTAGTTGCGAAATTAAGGATATGATAGTTCCAAACGGTCAGCCGTTGTTTGATAACTAACTTATTAATTGAATCACACCAATGAAAAAATTTTAAACAGGACAATGAGGGACTAGGCAGCTGTTGCTCTGTACCAAATTGATGAGTAAATTTCTCCCACATGTCTAGTTTACACGTAGTGTCGCCACAAATTAGAGGAGCTTAGGAGAGAAGCCCCCGTTAAATGTGGAATCTTAAAAATGAGCCTTGAGGCGACAGTGGGATTATCGGAAGAATGGTATTACCGAGAAAGACAATGGAGACTGGAATGACCATTTCTGTCTTATTAGCCGTCGTCAGCCATTCATACCCAACCTCGAAGTGTTGAACACCCGAGGCTCGAACTCGCGACTTGTTAGTTAGAAATCCAGCGCTTCTGACCACTGGGCCACGGGCCCGTTGTCCTATAGGCTTCGATCGGGAATATACAATGGTAGGAGGCGCTCACCGATCGTTCTTACGAATCTCACTTGTTCCGTTGTACCTTACGGACCCTCTCTCGAGCCCAACCAGCAGCCGCACAGCGGCGCATGATATAGGCAGTGTAGTTACCGTCCACTAAATTACTGGTCGAAAACTTCTGAGCACACTCTTTTTTCTTCAGCAGACATTTTGGCAATCGCATGGTCGACCAAACCGCCAACTGCTTGGCCTAAATCCAATGCATTTTTAACGGAAACTGTTATAGAGGGTGCAAGCGGTCTGAAAACGCGGCCTAAGGCGAAAGGAAGACTTTACCGCGCACTGAATAACAGGCCAAGCCGGCAGGGAGATTCGCGCGTGAAGCTAGACAACCGACCGGCGTGTACTGCTGCGTCGAGCACGTGTGCTGCCTTTGCTCACGCGCGCGACCCAATCAATAGCCAGCGGAACATTCGAGATTTTTCTGCGAAGGGATTCTCGCGCACGCAACAGCTAACCCGCGACCCAAACGTCATAGGCCAGAGTGTTCCGGAACGCTCAGGGCCCCAAGTAAATAGGGTGCCTTTTGAGGAGTTAAGGGCCGTGTGTTCGCAGGCTGTGAAGATAGAGTATTAGCCTCTTGTACTCGCCTTCTTTCCCTTCCATCACACCCGTCGGGAGAGAGCAGAAACTATGCGCAAAGTCATACACGCACATGGTTAGTGGTTGTAGTGCATAGGCAAGAAATACCCTATTGGTTTGAGGGGTATTGCCATTTGCCAGCTTAAGAATAACGTTTTTGGAAATTTATTCCGCTTTAACCATATAATGAATTCCGCGCCTTGTTGTGTTAGAGACATTACTGCCTTTGGACTGGAAAGCGGATGTTGGCACTATTATTCCGGACCGACTTACTGGCAGTAAAGACTGAATTGTAAATACGTAGAAAACGCGATGGATTGACTCCTGTCAACTCACATAACAGCACGCGACGTGCCGTGGCTGAATAAAATACCAGCGAAATGTCACTGGTTCCATAAGAATTAGTTAAGAACGGCACTTTGAGGATGAGATGCTAAAGACCGAATCCGCACTCTGAAATCACAGGCCGACTTATGTCTTTTGTTGTTGAGTTGTTCCTGAATGCCATGTCGGCAGAATATAACTGGTGTAGTTAGGATTAATAAGATCTTCATGCCGAGAATTTGATGCTTGTGAACGAGGGCCTGATGGCCAATAGCTGCTGCCAAAGCGACGCCGTACCCATGATGCACTTGAAAACCATGCATGGTGTGCAGATAGTCTACCAAGCACCGGAGCTAGTTTACAGCATCCGGCAGTGACTAACATATGGCAGTGGTACTGGTATGATTGTAAGTAAATGCAGCTGTTGACTGGTTTGTAAATAAATAGAAAGGCAAGATGGAGTGGACCCCGTCCAGTTACTTAGCACGTCTGGACGCACCGAAGTCACGATCTGAGGCAGATACGTTTCAACTTAGAGCTGTGCCTGAAAAGCTTGTTAGTGAAATGCTACCGTTGTAATAAGATTAAAAAGGCGGCAAGCTGACGGTGTGATTTTAAAGCTCAAATCTACGTTATGAAACTATAGGGCGAGTTAAATCTTCTTTTTTGTTACGACAGTAATAGTGCAGTGGGTGGAATGCACAGGGTGCGATTATAATTAGTAATTTTGACGTGACCAGAACTGGATATTTGATTACGGGTCGACATTTCGAAATTGAGGGCCAAGTTTATTTATTGTAGAGCCACGCCTGAAGGGCATACCAACGAAATACCGCTGGGGTAATTGGGCCTTTTGTCGGAATTGCATAGCAACACAATTCGTCTGGTATTAATAGGACTAGTTAGAATGTTATGTTAACTACTGGATTATTGAACTCGTATCGGAGTTCTGAACTTCAATGCTGTATGCGCATAACTGTGAGGAAATAAAATATCTATAGCATCTATCTACTCGTTTGAGTAGCGATGGATGTTAGATTGTATTTGTCGGGTCTGGTGTTGCGACACAAATTCTGCCCTATTTTGATTAAGAAAATGTGCGGTCAAATTCGTTGTTCAAAGTAAGATTGCAGATTGTGTGCTGATAAACGGTCTGAATTTTGCTCTGAAACGTGAACACTCTAGCGGTTTTCCCTTCGTCTTGCGTGATGCGTACAATTTATCCATCCAACCGACATTTTTCTTTCTAACTGGAAAACGTTTCAGATCGTCTCTATTTCGGAAATCGACCCTTCTCCAAGGCGTACTGTCATCAATTTACGACTAGCCTGTTCACAATACTATTGGGGAGTTAACTGGGTGCTTGCATGCTAACTTATGTTTGCAATCGACTTTCGATGTGAATGGTCGCAATTTGCTTTTCGTTTAATACTTATCGCCTTCTCGGTTCGAGTTATAGATGTAAATTTTAACGTTTACCCTGTTTATTCGACTCTCTCAAGACCTTGGTTGACTGATTCCAACGTATTAAAATTTCATCTGTCGCATACAAACTTGATTCCATTTTCGCGCATAAAAAGCGGTCTCAAAGGGGCAAGGATATGTGTACATCCCTGAACTACCTTCCGACAAGATGCCTTTTGATACACTAAAATAAGCATGGGATGCAAGTACGATTTATCGCTCTTATACAGATAAGGACAGTACGCTTCATCTCCAAAAGGGTTCCGAAGGGCGAAAGACACAACTGAAATAGTGGAAAGTCTAGTTGAAATGCACTTGCACCAAAAAGCTTCTTGAATTCAAAAGACGGGGAACTATACAAAAGGTCTGGCTGGTAGACACAGACTTCTTAAGAAAATAACCAGGAATTTGTGGCAACTGCGGAACCTTCCACGGAAACTCGCGCCCGGTAGTCATAATCGTGATGCCCAGTGTCTTTGTTCAATGTCCTGCCATGTCAAGGTTATTTACATTCCCTGTGGGCAGTTTCGGATGCCATGACTTTCCAGCCTGACCGACTGTAACACGCACACTCAGATTATCGCTGTCCGGCCCTACTTGAACGCGCCATCCTTTAGTTAATGCAATACGCGGCAGTAGATAAATCACCCCACGGCTTATGCGACACGACACGTCACTTGGGAACAAGACAGTCGGACTTGCTCCCACAACCCCATAAAGTAACCCCAGACACTCTCTCAGGCATAAATTGACTCTGTCAGTGCGCGTCCTGGCCGGCCTAGCGGTCTCTGCTGCTTTCTGTCTTCCATTTTATCTCAGTGTTCGGGACTTGGCTTGATGACTGTGCTGCTGACTTGGGCCTCCACAAACTATTCCAACTTATGTCAGCTAAATTGAAAATATACGATCTGTCGGTAAGCTGTGGTTATGTAGCCCCACCTGATGGACACAATACTGTTGGGGCTGGGATTAGGGTCAGGGGTTAGGGTTGCCCCCATCGACGATCAGCATCAATCACCCCCTAAGGATACCAATCCAGCCGAAGCTAAACCGACAGGTTTACAGTATAATCTCTCAGGTGTCTGCGTTGAATGCCATAGATGAAGTTCATGAGTAATGTGTATGTGTTGGTGGGGAGATGTGTGGTGATGGAGTTTGGTCCGCAGTATTTTACCGTCTGATGGCTG